TTTTTTTTTAAAGATTGGCGTCTGAGGGGCTGGCCCCGTGGCCGAGTGGTTAAGTTCGCTGGCTCCACTTAGGCAGCTCAGGGTTTCGCCAGTTCGGATCCTGGGCGCGGACATGGCACCACTCATCAGGCCACGATGAGGTGGCGTCCCACATGCTGCAACTAGAAGGACCCACAACCAAGAATATACAACTATGTACTGGGAGGCTCTGGGGATAAAAAGGAAAAAAAATAAAATCTTTAAAAAAAAAAAAAGTTAGACTTCTATAGGCACAATCAGCCAGATAATTCAGCATAAGAACAATAATTTCGAACAAAGTGACCAGATAATAGGGTTGAAAAAATATTTTATTTTGCCTAAATTGCCTAGATACTTTGTTCAATTTTCATTTTTTGAGCTGTGGAGACCTAAGCAGGAGTGAGTGTCTAGAAAGGGACCAAAAACCAAACCACAAGGATTAACCCAGAACACATCTCCTAGCTTGCTCTTGGCATTACCCTCTAACAAACATGCTGACTGTGGCATTGGCCATTTTCGTTTGGCATATTTGGCCAGAGGTCAGTAAACTTTGGCCCATAGTCTAAAGATGGCCTGCTGCCAGTTTCTGTAAAGTTTTACTGGAAAACAGCCATGTCGATTTGTTGACTTATGGTCTTACAAAGGCAGAGTTGACGAGTCGTGACAGACTGTATGACCTGCAAAGTCTAAAGTATTTATTCTTTAGCTCTTTACAAAAAGTATTTGTTAACCCTTGTTCTTGGCTGACAAATGCCGAGAGAACTACGTGAAAAGCCCTATGGTATAAAAATATTTCTAGGGGCCAGCCCAGTGGTGTAGTGGTTAAGTTGATGTGCTCTGCTTCTGCGACCCAGGGTTTGTGGATTTGGATCCTGAGTGCAGACTTAGTACCGCTCATCAAGCCGTGCTGTGGTGGTGTCCCACATAGAAGAACTAGAAGGACTTACAACTAGGATATACAAGTATGTACTGGGGCTTGAGGGAGGAAAAAAAAAAGAGGAAAATTGTCAACATATGTTAGCTCAGGGCCAATCTTCCTCACCAAAAAAAAAAAAAGGCAAAAAAAAAATGACACGTACATAACTTTTATTTTTTTATCACTTATACATGCTGTATTAGTTTACTGGAGCTGCCATAACAAAATACCACAGACCAGGTGGCTTAAACAACAAAAATGTATTTTCCCCCAGTTCTAGAGGCTACAAGTCCAAGATCAAGGTGTTGGCAGGGTTGGTTTCTTCAGAGGCCTCTCCCCTTGGCTTGCAGATGGCCACCTTCTCGCTGTGTCCTCACATGGGCATCCTCTGTTCTCTGTCCTAATCTCCTCTTCTTATCAGGACACCAGTTGTATAGGATTAGGGTCCACCCTAACAACTCCACTTTAATTTATTTACCTCTTTAAAGGGCCTCTCTCAAAATACAGTCACATTCTGAGAGACCGGGGTTAGGACTTCGACAGGAATTTTGCAAGGACACGATTCAACCCATAACACAGGCAAAGTTTGTTAAGAAGAGTGGCAGAGGGCTGCTCCTACACCCACCCTCCCGCCTCATTTCCCAATTTCCGGAAGAAACTCAATTTGCACTCTTTTAAAAACTAATTAGTGGTCTGCCCGTGGCCGAGTGGTTAAGTTCACGTGCTCTGCTTTGGCAGCCCAGGACTTTGCCGGCTCGGATCCTGGGCGCAGACATGTCATGGCTTGTCAGGCCATGCTGAGGCAGTGTCCCACACGCCACAACTAGAATGAACCTACAGCTAAAATATACAACTATGTACTGGGGGGCTTTGGGGAGAAAAAGGAAAAATAAAATCTTTAAAAACAACAACAAAAAAACTATTTTGTATTTACCTTCGCATCCAAAATAATCTGTATGTAATGCCTCTTCTTGATTTTTTGGGTTTAGATTTCTTCTCTTGATTTTCACTATGAAAGATTTAACTCTTTCTCACCGCCTATCACTCCCACCGCCCATTTGCACTCTCCCCCTCCTTGCATTCTCCCCAAATAGTTAATCATAATTTGGGTTAGATCAATGGTTGATATTTTCATTATTAAACATCTTTGTTTTTCCTGAAGCCAATAACTGTATTTTTTATTTGCTTAGTTCCCCATGTACTTGCTAATCAATCCCCAAACTTTACCCCTTTGGTGTAAACCTCATCTCAACTACTGTAAGACACATTTTGTATTCTATCTGTATCATTCTCTAGAAACTGTCTCCTGGGGCCTCGTGCTTGTTCCAATCCGGATTGGCTGAACTCTAGGACTGCTATACTGCTGCCTCATAATTCCCTCTGCTTCTCTCCTGGGTTGGAATTCCTGTTTCCTGAATCTTTCATGTCTTCTTTTTGATCTACTTCCTTGTTGTGCTGTCAGTTCAATATTTCAAGGATTCACTTATTCAGCAAACATTTATTGAGCTTGTGTCAGGCACAGTGCTAGGCACGAGGGACCCAGAAGTAAGAGAAATGGACAATGTCACTGCCTGCAGGATGAAGATGTCCAGCTCTGTGACAACACAATGGCCAATATGGGCTGAGTTAGAACCAAGTGCCTAGTTGCCTAGGAACTGAATCACTGCCCTCTTTACACATGCTATCACGCGGATGGAAAGGGACTAAAATTTATTGAGTCCTGCTGGGTCCCAAGTTATTTATGCACATTATCTCATTTAATACTTACACATTTCTATTATTATAATACCCATTTTATGAGAGGAAGGCAAAAGTGGAAGCTCTGAGGTTCAGAGCATATTAAGTAACTTGCAGAGCAAGCATCTGACTGTGAAACTCTTTACAGCCATGTTACACCAAGCTGTAAGGAATGAATGCATACAAACTAGAAACTAAGGCTTACCTCCTTCTTAACCAAACAGTCAATTTGCCTTTGCATACTTGTTGTCTGTTTTATTCTATGGACCATACTTTCAGGTAAGCTAAGGTCCTGACTCTCTAGGAATCCCTCATTTATTCAGTCAATAAATATTTGTTGAGCTGTTAATATATGTGAGGTACTCTTCTAGGTGCTGGACACATAGCAGTAAACCGAAAAGAATCACACCCCTTTTGGAGTGCACATGAGTGAAGAGTGTCAGGATAAGGAGACTAGGAAAGAGGGGGGACTATATTTTTTATAGGATGGTCAGGAAAAGCATTTCTGATACGGGGACATTTGAGCAGAGACAGAAGGAAGGGAAGGATGGAGCTATGTCGCTATCCAGGTGGAGAAAACAGCAAGTACAAAGGCTCTAGGGCAGGAACAAGGAGGCCAGTGCCCGCTGGGGAAGACTGTCAGGTGAGAGCAGTAAGAGACCAGCAGAGGCCTTGGAGGCCATAGTAAGAACTTTGTTTTTTATTCTAGTGAAGTGGGAAGACATTGGAGGGTTTTGATGTGATCCTCAGAAGACATGTTGGAAGTCTCATAGGCCATCTACTGTCCACGTCTGGCTTCTCTTTCACAGCCACACTCACAAGAGTGAGTCTAAACCCTCTGTCTCTGCTTTCTCACCTCATTCCTTCAACCCATGCCATTTGGGCTCTGGACCCCATCACTCCTCTGAAATAGTTCTTATTAAGGTCATCAGTGACCACATCTTGCCAAAGCCCATGCCAATGCTCAGTCTTCCTAATTCTCAACCTCTTGGCAGCATTCGACATGGTTGCAGCACTGCTCCAGCATTCAGTAACCCCAGACTCTAGCCTGGTTTTCTTCCTCCTTCACAGGCTGTTTCTGCACATCTGCCAAACCTCTGCACACAGTAGTGCCCCAGGACTCTGATCTTGGACCTCTGCTATACCCTCTCCCTGGGCATTGAGTCCATGGTTTTCAATACCTTTGATATGCTGATGACTTCTGCATTTATATCTCCAGCTCCAAATGTGTAATTCCAACTGCCATGTCCACATGTCCACTTGGATGTCTAACAGGCATCCTCTCCAAATCTGCTTCATCACAGAAATGGCACCCTCACACATCCAACTGTTCAGGACAAAATCCTAGAGAGCATCCTTGGTTCTTTTCACTCCAGTAGGCGCCACCTCCAGAATAAATCCTGAATCTGGCCACTTCTCACCCTCCACTGCTACACACTAATTCAAGCCGCCATCATCTCTTGCCTGGATTACTGTAAAAGCCACCAAATTTGTCTCCCTGCCTGCGCTCTTACCTATGCCCTGTCCATTCTACATCTAATCTATTAAAACATAAGTCAGATCAGGGGCATTGTCTTGCTTAAAATCGTCCACTGGCTTCCCACTGCAACCAGAACAAATCCAAATCCTTTATCATGGGCTTTACTGCTGTCCGTGATCTTGGTCTTGTGGTTCCATCTCCTTTCCGCTTCCCTCTCCTTCGCCCAGGGCTCCCGCTGAACATACAGAGCTGACTGCCGCGTCCGGATCTGTGTACTTGCTTTTCCTTGAGCCTGGAATACTCGTCCCCAAGGTCTTCACCAGGCTTCCTTCTTCTCATCCTTCAGCTTTCAGCTCAAACGCCACCTCTGAAAGGCCTCTCCTGACCTCCCAATGGAAAGTCTTCCTCCTACCCCCAGCAGTTAATTTGATAAATTATTGTGTTTATTCACTTGTTTTGGAGTTCCCTGTGTCACCGGATCCCCAACACCTACACTAGAAAGCATCAGGGACCTCTTTTGTTGAGTTCAGCCCCCAAGCACCGCCTGGGACAGAGTAGATGCTGAAGAAACAGGAGCCCACAAGGTTATTCCCCAGGCTCTTACAAGCTTCTTGTCTGCTGCAAGGAGCGATCTTCCCTTTAATCGCTTTCTCCCATCCTCAGCAGGGAGGGAAGGTGGGGGGCTAGCAACTACCTCCCCTCCCCCCTACCTCCCCTCCCCCCCTACCTCCCCTCCCCCCTACCTCCCCTCCCCCCTACCTCCCCTGGCTCCGCCTCCACCTGACCTTTTCTGCCCCTCTTCCCACTCTCCCTACCTTGCCCCATTCTTCCTCCTCCCCCCGCCCCCTCCCTCAGACCCACCCTGCCGCGCGTCCGACCCGAGCGCGCCCTGCGTCTCACGCGGGCACTGGAGCGCGCAGTCACCCGACGGCCGGCCGCGGAGGAAGGATGGCGCGCGCGGCGCTGCGCTTGGTGCTGTTGCTCCTGGTCGGGGACTTGGCAGGTAACGCTCACCAGCGCGCCTGGTCGGCCGAGGACCGGCGCGGGAGTGGTGGAGAGGGGGTCTCCCCGGCGGCTGCCCGCCTCGGGATCCTGGCGGCCTCGGTGCCCCTCCGCGCACCCGTTGCTGGTGGGTCTAGGCCAGCCGTGCGGTCGCTCCTCCAGCAACGCGAACTTGGAGGGGGGCGTGGGGGATGTTGTGGAGCTGGCGACCTTCTTTAGTTCTTGCTTGGGCTTCGCTCCCAGCAACTTCTTAGTGACACCCTATTTTATTATTAAAATAGTATTTAATATTAAAATAATTGTTTTATTGTTTATTGTTATTTATTTATTTATTAAAGCAAATTGTCTGGAGCCCAAGAGCAGGAGTTGAGTTTTTACGTACCTAGTGGTCCTCTTGAACCTCGGCTGGAGAGGTACAGGAATTGGGAACGCTAACTGCGTCAGGCACTTTGGGGTGTCTGAAAAACGGCCTTTAGTGCAGCCAGACTTGACGCCCATTTTAAAATGGAGTTTAAATGGTATGACCCAATGTTAACTTTTGCGGTTATTACCCTGACTGCAGAGGAAGAGAATATCATGAATTATTGAGTTAATTCTCAGACTTTTATTCCATAGCTGCAAAGTACTTTCTCAAGCAAACCCATTAGGGTGGCCAATTACAGAAACGGTACCAAATGTTCTGTCTGTGTGCCTGCTAGGAACGGTGCCAGAAAACGGCTGAATATCATTTAGTGGAGTGGGGGCTTTAATGGGGGTGGTTCCAAGAAACTAGTCATCCGAGGGAAAGGGGACAAGATGTGGCCTGGATAAGTCACAAGCTGGATTTTAAAAACCCTTGATGAACACGAATTGACCTTCATCACATAGTGTTCTTTTTTTTTGAGGAAGATTAGCCCTGAGCTAACATCTGCTGCCAATCCTCCTCTTTTTGCTGAGGAAGACTGGCCCTGAGCTAATATCCGTGCCCATCGTCCTCTACTTATCTGTGGGACGCCTACTACAGCATGGCTTGACAAGTGGTGCCATGTCCGCACCAGAGATCCGGACTGGTGAACTCCGGGCTGCCAAAACAGAACCATGTGAACTTTGCTGGGCCACCTGGCCGGTCCCAATCACGAAGTTTAAAATATCTTTTCTTCTTGCAGGCTCTTCACGTTCTCAACCTGGTCAACTTTCAAAATATAGAAGAGTAAGTAGGAAACCACTGGTATTGTTTCGACTAATACAGTGAAGCAGTTTGGGTTTGGGACTGGTTTTTTGAAACTATTGACAGCTTCTATAGAAACTAGATTCTCAGGTGGACTTTTTGATACAGATCAAAAATGTAAATATTGGTTGAAAATAGCCTCAGGGCTTTGTTTACTTTAACGATTTAGAAGGTCCTAGGCCTAGTAGTAATGCCTTGTACTAGGCATTTAATGTACATTATCAAATTAAGTTCTGTGGAAGCAAATGAAAACCAGCCAAATGAGAACAAGCAAAAGCTGTTTATTCAGACGGTAATAGAGCAAGGAAATCAGCCACCTCACTGTGTTTTGGCTGAGACTCAAAGACAGGTGGAGGAGTGGAAAGCTTTATAGTGGGAAATCGAGGAGGCTTCAGGTGTGCCTGGATTGGAGGCTGCTGGCTGGGGAAGCTGGAGGCAGGTAAACTAGAAGCAGGCATCCTGGGTGATTGGTTAGGAGGGCGTAACTGGCTTTCTCTAGTTGGTCCTAAGTTGGGCAGAGACAAAAGTTAAGGAAGCTGTTAGTTATTGATCAAGTCCTGGCCATTTGGGGCCCGTTGTTACAGAGGTTATTGTTCAGCTTCTGGGACTGTCACTAGAGATAGCCGTCTGACTTCCTACAAGTCTGACTTCCGGCAGGCTGGCTTCCTGGGCTGATTATTCTAAGTAATGAGTTGGTTTCCTGGCGGTTGCTGCAGGCTGTGGGTCAGAGTTCTATGTTAATCTCTGGTCTGGCATTGTCCATTTGTATGTTCAGTCTCTCAGTTCTCACAATGACCTTGTAAGGTAGATATTATTATTTTACACATGGAGATATTGACCTCAGTGGGTTAGGTAACTTTGAGAATTCAACTGAGACTAGACCTCTTCCAGGAAGCCTTCCCACCCTATTTTCTTCCTTCAGGGCAGATCTGAGTGCACTTTCACTATGCTTCCATTCAGCCTATACTGCATTGTCAGCATCAGCATGTTGGTGTAGGGGAGGAAGAAAGTCTGCCTTCCACCCTTCTTAGTTCTCAGCTGGGGCCCCTGTAACAAAAGACAGACAACAAGAGAAAAACAAACAGAAGTTTATTAACACGTGCATTGCGCATACACAGGGGAGCACTCAGAGGCGAGTAACTCAAAGTGGCTTAGAACTCTGGCTTATATAGCGTCTTTAACAAAGAACAGTAAATTTGTGGAGAAATGACAGGACAAAGGAAAATGGTGTTAGGCTTCCAAAGGCAGCCGACCATGGGAAGGTAAATGTATGGGAGGAAACAAACGGAGTAAAGTTTGTTTGCAGATTCCTCTGGTGCCGTCTCTGGGCTGATAAGAGTCTAGAGTTGTCTCCAGTAAAGGAGAATTTATATTCTGCCTTTGGGCAGAAAAGGGGCCGGGGTGGTGGTAGGGAGAGCTTTGCCTGGGTTTGCTACTTCTTAACTGCCTTTAGCTCAAAATAATTTTTATGTCAAAGAACTATGTTTTTGGGTGACATGTTCTGTTTTCCTCAATGCTTAGATACCACTGTGTGCTAAGTACTGTTCTAAATGCTTTATATATAATAATTCATTTTGTCTTTGACAGCACTGTGAAGTAGGTGCCATTGTTATTCCCTTGGCCGAGATCACACGGAAATGGTAGAGCTATGCTTCCAACCCAAACAGTCTTGAGTCCAGATCCAGTGCCCTTTACTGCCCCATCATAGCACTGAATTGTAATTGCCTGTCTCACCCCAGTAAACCATATACTCCTGGGGTCAAGGATGATGTCTTGTTATTTGGTGCCCAATCTTCAGCACTTAGTGGGTGCCCAATAATACTTTTTGATCAGGTGACTGTTTTCTTGAGTTTATTTTTCTTTCAGAAAATGGGGATAATCCCACCTCCATTTTAGGGCTGGGATTAGGGTAAGGCAGGTGAGGTACCTAGGGTGCAAAATTTAAGGAGACACTCACTCTCAGGAGGCAAGTGCCCCCGGACCCTGCTCTGTTCGTACAGGATTATTAAAAGGATGAATCACACAAGAGATCTTTGGCTTTTCTTCTGCATTTCCACTGCCACTGCTCCAGTTCAGGGCCCCCTTTACTTTTCCCTAGACTAGCTTAGTAGCCCCCTAAGTGATTTTCCTCAACCCTTCAGTATCTCTACTTTCCAGCTCCTGCTACACGCTGCTGCTGCTGCATTTACTCTTCACAACCTCGACTCCAAGGACAGCGTGTCCCTGCATGGAACCCATAAGAGACTTCGCAGTGCCCATGGAGAATGTCTCACCTCCTTAGACAGCTGCCTTTCTACCTGTACCTTCCGTTCCTTTCCCATGACTTTTGCTCTTCTATCCTTAGGCTAGTGCCACATTGTTTTAATTACTGTAGCTTCGTAGTAAGTTTTGAAATGGTGAAGTGTGAATCCTCCAACTTTTTCTTCACGATTGTTTTGGCTATCCTAAGTCTTGCATTTCCATATGAATTTCAAGATCACTCTGCCAATTTCTGCTTCAAAAAAAGCAGTTGGGCTTTTGATAGGAATTGCAATGGACCTGTGGATCAGTTTGAGGAGTATTGCTGTCTTAAGGAAGTTAAGTCTTCTGATCCATGGATATGGGATATCTTTTCATTTATTTAGGTCTTTAATTTGTTTTGACAGCTTTTTTCGTTTTCAGTGTACAATTCTTACACTTCTTTTGTTAAATTTCTTTTTTTTTTTAAGATTGACACCTGGGCTAACAACTGTTGCCAATCTTTTTTTTTTTTTCTTTTTCTGCTTTATCTCCCCAACCCCCCCCCGTACACAGTTGTATATCTTAGTTGCAGCTCCTTCTAGTCGTGGGATGTGGGGTGCGGCCTCACCGTGGCCTGACGAGTGGTGCCATGTCCGTGCCCAGGATCTGAACCCTGGGCCGCCGCAGTGGAGTGTGCGAACTTAACCACTCGGACACGGAGCTGGCCCCTTATTCTTTTTTTTTTTGAGGAAGATTAGCCCTGAGCTAACATCTGCCGCCAATCTTCCTCTTTTTTGCTGAAGAAGACTGGCTCTGAGCTAACGTCTGTGCCCATCTTCCTCTACTTTATATGAGGGATGCCTGCCACAGCATGGCTTGATAAGTGGTGCATAGGTCCACACCCAGGATCCGAACCATTGAACCCCGGGCTGCCAAAGCAGAGCATATGAACTCCACCACTGCACCATCAGGCCGGCCCCAATATTTTATTCTTTTTGATGCTATTATAAATGGAATTATTTTCTTAATTTCATTTTCAGATTATTTGTTGCTAGTGTTTTGAAATACAATTGATTTTTATATATTGATCTTGTATCCTTCAATCTTGTTGAACTTAGTTTTTAGTTCTAATAGTTTCTTTGTGGAATTCCTTAGGCCTTTCCATAGAAAGATCATGTCATCTTTGATTAGAGAGAGTTTTGCCAGTTCCCTTCCCATCTGGATGCCTTTACTTATTTTTCTTGCCTGATTGCCTTGGCTAGAACCTTCTGTATAATGTTGAATAGAACAGATGAAAGGAGACATCCTTGTCTTATTCTTGATTTTAGGGAAAAAGTATTCAGTCTTTCACCATCTAAGTGTAATACATAATGTTAGCTGTGTGTTTTTTGTAGATGTCAGTTTTACTTCCTTGCTTAGATATTTGCTTAGTCTGTTTTATTTTCTTGAGGTAAACATTCTCCCAAACCTCTCTATCTAAATGCTACCCATCCTTTAAGACTACCATGTGTATTTCTTGATGCCTTACTAGACACTGAATTTCTTAGAGGCAGGATTCAGTTTGTCTTTGTATTTCTCATAACATATATCTTAAAATATTAGAGTATTCATTTATTGAATGAATAAATAAGGGAATATATCTGGTTAAGTGTATAAGAACCTTTCAAAAGAAAATCTTCAGAGCATAAAGCTCAGAGAATTACTTAAAAGCATATCACGTCCTTCTATAAAAATTAAAATGATTCCAGGGAATAAATGCATTTGCCAGATGGCCCTCTCCCAGAGTCTCCTGAAGCCCGGAGGAACAGTCTGCCAGGGGTGGCTTCCTATAGTGGCATCTTGTGGGGTATAATTTAGAGCCTGCCTAGATGATGAACCTGCTTTGAATTTTTTTTCCTTTGGCACAAATTTGGGTAATTGAATAAAACTAAGGGCTCATGGGCGCATCATTTATGAATGAAATTATTTGACCTCCTCGGTAAGGGTGAAAAGTATTTGAAAGTGAAAAGACTTATGTTGAGTTCAGAGAAAATCCAGCAAATGAGTAACCTGAATGTCATAAAGTTAACTGGTGGATAGCCAAACCTAGCTTTGAAATCACGAGAATCAGACTGGAACACCAACACGGCCTTCCAGCTGGGCACATCCCTCAGGGACCTGAAGGACATCATAAGGCTTCTGCTTTGAAAATAAAAATCTTATCAGCTTGTTAGTGCTCCTCAAAATTCATATATTAGTCATTCTTTGAGATGAAAGCGTTTGAAAACTCCTGTTAAACAGAACACCTAACACCTTCGGGCTAAACAGATCGATTTCAGTTAGCTAGTTGTTTACCTACCTAGTCAGTCACTGAGAGGGTGGGGCATAGGCAAGATATGTTTTGATTAAAAAAGGAGAGGCAGGAAAGGTCCAGAGCAGGGGTTTCCTGAAATTGTGTGCAAGATGGTGTGTCTGTGCATTTTCCTTAGCTTTCATCATGTAGTCAGAGAGGCCTGGATGCCAAGATGATTGGGAGCGGGGATTCATAAGCCCAGTCCTAGCTGATCCAGAATTCAGGGGCCTCTAGACATACAGATTCTACCTCTGGAGATTCTGATCCAGTAGGTCTGGGGTGAGGCCCCAAATCAGTATTTTAACAAGCTTCTAAGGTGCTGTGCACGTGCAGCCTGTGCGGACTCAGCGTGGGCTAGTCGTTAACAGTGAAAGCTCACCCAACCACCCTCCGCTTAAGTAACTCACGAACAAGTGAGCCTTTTTCTCTGAACAATTCCCGCCGCACGCTGATCACTCGCTGGTTGTAGATGGACTGCTCTCCTGTGTGAGACTTCATTTCTCATCCGTGGAGTTGTATTCTTATCAAGACTCAACTGCGTGTGTTCACAAGCCTGTTAGGCCAGTTGCCAGTCTAATTTTAATTACAAATGTAAAGACAAACATGAGTGTCAAGACATAAAATTGTGGTTTGTATGAGAACTGTGTTGAATGCTTTTGAAAGACTTGCTAAAAGATGAATTGCTGAAAAAATGCTATGGAATTAGGTGTAGATGAAACAACTGTAAATAATTGGGAAAAGGTTTTTAAATTGTGTATTACCTTGTTTTGCAAGTATCTTTAAATTCTCACTGTATTTTAAAACAGGAGTTCTCAACTGGGGACAGGTTTCCCCCTCAGCAGATATTTACATTGTCATTTTGATTGTCATGACCGGGACGTTGATATTGGCATCTAGTGGACAGAGAACAGGGATGCTACTAAACATCCTACAACACAAGACAGCCTCCCACAGCAAAGAATTATCTGGCCCAAAATGTGAATAGAGGTTGAGAAAGCCTATTTTAAAGAAACCAAACAGGAAGTCATAGGTGATTTGCTATGGCTATGACTTTTGTGGTGATAGCACACACAACTCTAATTAGTTGAAAATTCAAAGGAAAGGTCTTATCTCTTATATCAGTTAGGATTAGATTCAGCTGCAGCTAATAAAGACTCAGCAGCACCAAGTGCTGCCATGCTAGGATGTGGCCTTTGTCCTCCTGGTCTGTAAGATAAAGGTTAGAGCTCCATGCATCAGCAGCAGGATGGAGGAATGGACAAAGAAGAATAAAAATTTGGAGAAGCAGAGGGCAGGTACCAGCTTTCTTTTAAAGGAGGTTCCTAGAAGCTACTCCACAATGGCCTGACCTTAATCATGTGGTCATCCCTAGCTCCAAGGAAGGCTGTGTTATAGTAGCATTACAGGTGGCCATGTGCCCTGTCACTGTTTCACATCGAAAGATTGGCAATTTTGTTTTTGTCTGTATGGGTTTTAAGATAAAGTGTTTAGGGTATATATTATTTTTTGTTATTGTTTGCTCGCTTTAGTTGACTTTTTTCAATTAAATAACCAACTATCATTTGTCGCAATCTCATTGGATAAGAGGGCATCTACTCTGCTTGTGAGAGCCCTAGAAGACATTGTCTTAGTGAGCCTAAGGCAGCAGGGACGCATCAGGCTCCTAAATGGAGCAGAGAGGGCTGAATGGAGGATGGAAAGTCAACAAAGCCTCCTGTATTTCAGAGTTTGGCCCATGGCCAGCTCTGCCAGGTCTTTATAAATCCAGGTATTATCAATAGAGAGGTGTATTTCATTTATTCAGAGTGCTAAAACAGGGTGACTTCTTTTACCTTGAAGTGAAGAAAGGTGATCACCATTTACTAAAACAAACAAAAAATAACATATATAAAAAACAAAAATACAGCAGCCCATATATTTAACCTTTTGTTAAAGTGGGACTCTGCATACCGTAGTCTGATCTCTGGGACCAGTTCTCGTCCTGGCCCTGCTGGAGACTAGTGGCTATGATCAAGGCATATTACCTGTCTGGCCTCAATTCCATCAGATCGGAGGGTTGAGTTCCATGATGCTCTATCGTGGACCTGGAAGTCGAAAATCAAGGTGTTGGCAGGGTTGGTTCCTTCCGAGGGCTGTGAGGGAGAATCTGTTCCAGTCCTCTCTCCTAGTATCTGGAAGCCTCAGGCATTCCTTAGCTTATAAATGGCATTCTCTCTGTGTCTTTGTATGATCTCCCCTCTGTGTGCCTCTGTGTCCAAATTGTCCCTTTTTATAAGGACACCAGTCACACTGGATTAGGGCCCACTTTAATTACCTCATTTTAATTTCATTACCTATATAAAGACCCTATTTCCAAATAAGGTTATATTCTGAAGTTCTGGGGGTTGGGACTTGAACATCTCTTTTTGGGCAGACACAATTAAAGCCCTAACAACCTCTGAGGTCCAATTCTGAGCCTGCTGCTTGGTTTAGTGCTGTTGGTTAAATGCCAATATCTTAAAAGTCCAGACTAAAAGATTAGGTTCCTGAGTCTGTCTCGGCATTATGCCAAGGGATTAAGGTGGAATGTAACAGAACATCCACATGGAGAGAGTAGTGAGGTGCCAATTATGAAGCTAGAGGATGTTAAAGTAGATATGGTGGCATGTCCTGGACTGTCATTTAAAAATCAGCCAGACTCGGGGCCAGCCCCGTGGTGCAGCGGTAACGTTCACAAGCGCCGCTTAGGTGGCCCAGGGTTCACCTGTTCGGATCCCGGGTGCAGACATACCACCACTTGTCAAGCTATGCTGTGGCAGGAGTCCCACATATAAAGTAGAGGAAGATGGACACGGATATTAGCTCAGGGCCAGTATTCCTCAGCAAAAAGAGGAGGATTGGTGGCAGATGTTAGCTCAGGGCTAATCTTCCCCCCCAAAAAATCAGCCAGACTGAACCTTCCTCTGAGGTCCGTTTCTTACATAGTAGATATTGAACCATTGTTTTAACTTTGCATCTGATTTTTGTGTTTGAAAAACATTTCGTGGAAAATACAAATATTTTTGTAGTGTCAAGGTGGAGGAAAATCCCCTTCTTCCCCTTATGGTGGTCTTATGGTTAGAATAATAATAAAATTCACACGGGGCCAGATTAACAGGAGAAAAACCCAGTCTAATACATGCGTATTGGAGATCATAGGGAAATGATGCTCGGGGAATGAACAAAGCAGGCAGTATATATATGTTTTATGCAAAGAAACAATAAATTTGTGAGGAATGACTGGACAAGGAAACTTAGGTTTGAGGTACATAAATAGGAATTTTAGCAGAGTTTAGGCTTGAAGTAGTAAATTAGCAAGGTTTGTTTATACTAGCTTCGCGGCCCAGAGTTCCCTGGCTCTGGGGATCAGGATGCAGGGGAGTGCCTTTCGCAGAGGAGATTGATTTCCTGCTTTGACAGGGAGCAGAGACAGGAGGGTCGGAATGCTGTTTTTGCTTCTCAAGTAACTTTAATTCCAAACGATCACTGGGCTGTTGTGGGATATTTTGGGGTGGCCTGCCCGGGGCCCCAGCAGTAGGATGTTTCATAGGAAATCTAGGGAGACTTAGACTTTGTCCTCCCCTCAGCTATTTTGTGATGAGACTATCTCAAGTTATTCTAATTTCTGTCTTCCTTTCTCTTTTCTAGCCAAACTGCAATAAGTATAACTTGCCAGCGTGTACCAGAGACTTTAACCCTGTGTGTGGAAGCGACATGTCCACTTACCCCAACGAGTGTGCTCTGTGCCTGAAAATCAAGTAACGTAACTTCACTGTATAGACCAGCCAAGTTTTCTTTAGCTCTGTTCTCGAACTTTAATTACTTAGGAAGTAGTGGCTCTTTTCTTGGATATAAGAATCAAATGCGACATAAGTAGTTGTGTTTTCAGACTGACATTTTAGACACAGAATCCTTCAGGGCATTTTCCAGGTCACAGTTAGAGAATGGAGTTATTCATCAGTCATAGACCACATAATTAAGTTGCATTACTCTCCAGGGATGGGCAGTTTTCCAAAATTAAGCATGTATTTCGTAGTTAGACTCTGTGGAATGTTAAATGGTGTTGTTTTTTTTTTTAATTCAGAGGGCATGTACAGGTGACCTACACACACCTGTACTACTAGTCAAAAAATAGGTCTTAATATCTCTGCCTAGTAGAATACTAAGTAATAAGTGTATTACACCTGATGCCCCTCATGTGACACTCCTCCCTGTGTGCTCCTTTGTACTTCGGGGGTCCGTTCTCTGACCTCATCTTCAGTGAGTTACCTAGGTCTTGTCAGCGTGATTCTAGGGCGTTAGTGTCCTGTGCCCTAGGGTTAGGGAAAAAATGGCAGAGTTGGGGCTTTCACTGTCAGTTTCCCCTAGATTTAGCTTTAAAAATGATTAAGTCAGTGTCACCCTGGAAGGAATCTAATATAAGACGCTATGGGTCCTTTTAACACAAATAGGGGGACACTTTCAGTCTGGTGGGTAAATATGTTTTTATGGTCACTTTGCAGGGAAGGTGGTCATGATATTAAAATAATTCGAGATGAACCATGCTGATGGAGCGCTTTGCAGAAGAGAAATTGGAGAAACCATCTTCAACCACAGCCTAGATGAATTTCATTTCCCCTTTTTCTCTTTTTCCTCTGTGTCTTTGCATGAGATTTGTTAACCTACATTTTCTGAGAGGAGGTGTGGAGGGGAGCCAGTGACTGATAATTAAAACAAAGCAAAAAGAATCCTTGTTTCTTGGCTTTTGCCCCTTGAGTTAAGCTTCTTGCCCTGATGACTTGTGCATTGCTTTCTTTAGTTGGAATAAAATCAGCATTGTTTTCAGTACCCACTGTTCTCTGTTGAATACTCCTCCTCACTCAGCAGCCTCGTGGTGGCTCTTTTCCTTTCAGGCAAAAGTGAATTTCACTAAGGGAGAAGTGGAGTCAGTGTTGAGAGGGCAAGATTTATTGTAACTCCCTCTTTCACTGAATCTTAGATAATTAATGGATGTGTAACTGGTACAGTGTTCACATGGCAGATAACCATGAGGTACTTGGGGCTGACTTCAGCTCGCAACTGGTACAGTCAAAGAATTATGCGGGTAAAACATATTTACTAGATTCAGTATCTCCTTTCAGTACAGTTTTCCTTTGGGTTAACGCAGGAATTTGGCTTTTTCCTTCTTTTCAAGCAATGGTTTTCAACCCGGGGTGACTTCCCCCCTAGGGGACCGTGGCAATATGGATGCATTTTTGGTGTCTAAGCTGAAGGGTGGGTGCTACTGACACGAAGTGGGTAGACATCAGGGATGTTACCAAACATCCTACAGTGCACAGGACAGCCCCCAACAATTTTTCATTCCAAAATGTCAGTAGTGCTGAGTTGAGGCACTCTGCTTTAGAGTTTGATACAGCGTAAAGAATTGAGTTGAGTGTCACAATAATGAAAATGACCAGGGATTAATTTAGAATGATAACATTTTCCAGGTAGAGGATTTTGAGTCCGAAGTCCTGGCTTTAAGTGCATTCTGGCACCTGGAAGCTGTGAGACGTGAGGCAAGAGATGGCTGAGAGAGTGTGTAGTAGAAAGAGTGTGGCTTTTTGGGGTCAGCTAAACCTGAGTTTGAATTCTGATTCCAGCACTTCCTTGTGCTTCAGTTTTCTTATCTGGGAAATGGGGATAATGCTCAACTCATGGAGCTGCTGTGAGGAAACTGCTGAGCACAGTGCTCAAACAGAAACCCCTGAAATAGAAGCTGCCTTTATTTCAGGCACCTCTTAGAGAGGAAGAAACTGAGGCCCACAGAAGCAAACCAACTTGCCCAAGGTTATAGAACATATTTGCAACAGTCTGGACTAGAAGCCTGGGTCTGGAAATTCCCAGTCCTCTGTTCTTATATGAAATAGAGGCAGTGAAGTGGGAAGTTGTATGACATAAATGTGCTACAATTAGCGTCCTGTAGTTAGCTTTGGCTTAAAAGTTTTATATAAGTAGCATATGCTTTTTGGAAAATTAAAAAATATACTGAAGTACATAAAAAAATTGAGAGTCTTGCCCATCGCAGCCTCCAGAGGTAACCAATGTTAACGTTTTGGAAAGACTCCTTTTTGCTCTCCCTAAATATGTGTGTGTGTATAAAATCATACACACACAAACACGCACACACACCCTGTAAACTTGCTCTTCTTATATTTGGGTTTTTTTCACCTCAATGCGTATGGTTTCTTCTTTTTAAAATCTATATCAGGGGCCAGCCTGGTGGCGCAGTGGTTAAGTTCACACATTCTGCTTCAGTGGCCTGGGGTTCGCCGGTTCGGGTCCCCGATGTGGACCTACATGCAGCTTGTCAAGCCATGCTGTTTCAGGCATCCCACATATAAAGTAGAGGAAGATGGGCACGGATGTTAGCTCAGAGCCAGTCTTCCTCAGCAAAGAAAGGAAGATTAACAGCAGATGTTAGCTCAGGGCTAATCTTCCTCCAAAAAAAAAAAGCTACATTATATTTTATTATTGTGCCATAAATTTTCCAATTCTATTGATCTATATTCAGATTGTTTATTAGGAGTCTCTTGGTTGAAATTGGAAGAATCTCGACTCATATTAGCCTTAGCTAAAGAGGGAATTTGTTGGCCCATTTAGTCATCCTTGCAAAAGAGCAGAGGTGGCGTTAGTCTCGGAGGGTACCTGGAACCAGGGACTCAAACACGTCAGGACTCCTCGTCTCTTCGTGCCTTGTCTTTATCTCAGCATAAACTGCTTCATTCCTAGATTAGCTGTGGGGGAGGTGAAATAGGCAGCTCCAGGGCCTATCCTAGTGCTTGCTGACCTGACAAGAAATGATTCTTTTCTACCCACTCCAAGTGAAAAACTCTACTAGAGTCACAGCCCTACAATCCTACAATCTGAAAAGAAAGTGACTCTTTTTCTGGACAAAGGCCCTGATTGGTTCATGTAGGATTACACACTCACCCTTTAGGCCAATTGTTACGGTGATAGGAAGTAAGGTGCTATATGATGAGTTTAGCTGAGGTGGGAGATTGGGTGCAGTGTTCCCAGAGGGAAAAAAGGGAAAAATCCAAGAAGAAAAAAAATCAATAAATGTTAACTGAAGGTTGTTTGCAATTTTTAATGATTATGAAACTGTTTCAGAGAACTTCCTTGTACGCACATCCTTGGCGCTTGTGTGTATACCACGATGAAAAGAGCTTTAAAAATTTTTTAAAGAGAAATTTATGCTCATGTAATGTACAGTCATCATTTGTTCTCCCCAGCAACTTTCCCTTCCTCTGCCCTAAAGAAGCGTTGTTTCTGCCTTCCGCTCTCCTTCTCCACTCCACTCCTGACTTCTGGTTGAATGGAGCTGCTGCCTTCTTCCATGATCTCATGTCCCTGACCCTGGTGATAGGTTGAAAGGTGAGCACCTGGTCCAATTAGACCAGTCGTAATTCCCATTCCCCTGGGCACAGGGCTTGGTGGACAGTGATCATTTGCAGTCCTTCCTCCGAGAAGAGCCCTTTTCTGTTTAGGTGGGAAGATTGAGAGACTATGCCCCTGGCAGCTGCCGGAAGCCGTGACCCCTCACCATCGAGAAAGGAGAAAGACAGCAGTAGGAGAGCAGGAGGCCACTATGCCGAGGGAGGCAGAGACAAGAGCCCCGGAGAGCTGTGGTGGGACTTCACGTTCTGGTCCCAGGCCTTGGGAACAACCCTTGTTTTCTGCCTTGCCAAGGCTTGGGCCTAGCTGCTCATCTTTTCCTTTGATTCTGTGAGCTGGCCTGCTGTCCGTTCAGTATTTTCCCTCCTCCCCTTTTTTGCTTATAGCAGTTTGAGTTGGGTTGTTATCACACAAGCAAACTCATCTACTAGAAATTCAAGTAATTCGGAAATGTGTGAAGAAAAAGGGTCTCTCTCTTCTAGTTTCATTCTCCTTTCCTGAGTAAACAAAACAATTATTGCCCACTACAATGAGCATGGAAGACTTTTATATTCAGAAAAAACTGATAATGACACTTCAAAAAGAAATTCAAATGTATAAACATGTATTAGGATTTTGTTGCAGGATTATTTTTATCACAATGAACTGTGAACAATCAATACTTTGGCACTTTATTTTTAATATAGTTCATAATAGTTTATATCATTGTGAAATTTGAGTTGTACATTATTATTTGTCCGTCACCATATAAGTGCTCCCCTTCACCCCCTGTGCCCACCCCCCACCCCATTCCCCTGGTAACCACTTAACTGTTTTCTTTGTCCATGTGTTTGTTTATATTCCACATATGAGTGAAATCATCTGGTGATTGTCTCTCTCAGTCTGGCTTATTTCACTTAGCATAATTCCCTCCAGGTCCTTCCATGTTGTTGCAGATAGGATGATTTTTTTCTTTTTTATGCCTGAGTAGTATTCCATTGTGTATGTATATATATATATATATATATATATATATATACATCTCACATCTTTTTTATCCAATCATTGATCAATGAGTACTTGGATTGTTTGCATGTCTTGGCTAGTGGGAATAGTGCTGCAATGAACACAGGGATGCATATATGACTTTGGATTGTTGATTTCCAGTTGTTTGGGTAGATATCCAGTAGTGGGATAGCTGGGTCATATGGTAGTTCTATTTTTAGTTTTTTGAGGAGTCTCCATACTGTTTTCCATAGTGGCTGCACCAGTTTGCATTCCCACCAGCAGTGTATGTGGGTTCCCTTCTCTCCATACCCTCTCCAACATTTGTTATTTTTAGTCTTAGTGATTATAACCATTTTAACAGGCGTAAGGAGGTATCTTAGTGTAGTTTTGATTTGTATTTTCCTGATGATTAGTGATGTTGAACATCTTTTCATGTGCTTGTTGGCCATCTGTATTTCTTCTTTGGAAAAATATCTGTTCATATCCTCTGCCCATTTTTTGATCTGGCTTTTTTTGTTGTTGTTGTCCAGTTGTGTAAGTTCTTTATATGTTATGGAGATTAACCGCTTTTCAGATATATGATTTGCAAATATTTTCTCCCAATTGGTGGGTTGTCTTTTTGATGTGATCCTGGTTTCCTTTGCTTTGCAGAAGCTCTTTAGTCTGATGAAGTCCCACTTGTTTATTTTTTGTTGTTGTTTCCTTTTTCGAAGACATGGTATGCGAAAAGATCCTTTTCAGTTCTATGTCAAAGAGTGTACTACCTATATTATCTTCCAGGAGTTTTATGGTTTCAGGACTTATCTTAAAGTCTTTGATCCTTTTTGAGTTTATTTTTGTGTATGGCTTGAGATAATGGTCTACTTTGATCCTTTTGCATGTGGCTGTCCAGATTTCCCAGCACCATTTATTGACAAGACTCTTTTCTCCATTGTATGTTCTTGGCACCTTTGTTGAAGATTAGCTGTCCGTAGATGTGTGGTTTTATTTCTGGGCTTTGAGTTATGTTCCATTGATCTGTGTGTCTGTTTTTGTACCAGTGCCATGCTGTTTTGATCACTATGGCTTTGTAGTGATCTTGAACAATTCCAGAAGCATACCTTAAACTTAGTTTAGATTTTGTATTAAGTATCCACTTTGTATCTGATCATTCACTCATTTATGCCATGAACATCTATAGATATCTATTATGTGCTGAACACTGGTTATGCAATGATGCATGAAATACAGCTGTGTCTGTGCAAGAGCTTACAGGATCATTGTTTTAAGTTTCTCTGGAAAGCGGAACAACTCTTACTTCTGGAAACCAAGAATTGACATCTGCTATAGACTGTAAATTCGATGAGCTTAAAACCCATATTTGTTGTGTTGTCTACTATATTCCCAGCTTGGGACACAGTGGGTGTTTAATAAGTATTTTGGGG